GACAACGAAATGATCACCAAAGAACTCGGAGTTGGAGATATGAAACTCCAATATAGAATCTCCCACCCACCGACCCAATGGTAGCAGTTAGCCAAGAGGGTTGGTTCGCTTGAACCATCCCCATAGGTGGCTTGGTTCGAACAAACCAAATGTCTTGGTTTTATCGAACCAACCATCGGCAGAATTTGGTTCACGTGAACCAAATTCTGAGGCCTGGCTGCGCCACTGCCCCGTACGGACCACTCTGACTCGGGAAGTAAGGGTGGTCCTAACTGGGAGGGAGAGTCCTCACAGTCTCACGTAGACTCTGAAGAGTCTAGAGACAGTAGACCTCAGGGCGCGAGTAGGCGCAACTCACTGAGGACTGGGTGATGGCTGGAAAGCTTGGAGTGTCCTGGTCCACAAAGAGGCACAGAAGATGAAAGTGATGATTCAAGTAAAGGTTGAAGGAAATATTCAGGTATTGAGTTCATTCCAAACAGGCTGGCCAAGTCTGACAACCCAAGCCAAACCTTTACCATCACCTCAAGCCTGTAAACAAGGCTCCTGGCGCTCTTTTGGAGGGCTTGCTGATTCTCAAGTAGCTCAGACAGACACACAAAGTTTTTAGTTCCTGGAAAAATACCAAAGTGTCTTGCCAATGCTGCCCTTCAAAAGGTATGGTTCTGATCTTCTAACTTCCTCAACTCAATTCAAAATAGACAAATTACCAATTCTTGTCTTTTTTAAATGATATGATCCAAAGAGTATCATTGTTCCGGAGAGTATGAATATCAATCAAGATCAGAAGTAGGAGGAGGAATCAGAGATCCCACATGCAAAAACACACACAGTCAAGGTTTAGAATATATTTGATTTCTTTGAAAATGACCCACATAAAGTTATGGAAAAATTTAAAGTTAAGGATGATTTATTTGATTGATGAAATTAAATCAAATAGATTCATCTACTGACACAATGTTTCGAATTTGAAAAGCAACTGGAAAGATCACTTAAAAGGAGTAAGAGGGGTATTGGTACAAAGAAACCCAACTGGTGTTGTGGAGAGTACAAGGATGGACACACATATCACTATAACTTACAGACACAGTGAATTTGAAAAGGTAAAGAGGATTGGAAATGTTTTAGTTGTTCTCATGGTGTGGTTGGAAATGGTGATATCTTGACTCCAACTTGGAAAGAAGAGCACAGGTCCAAAGATTCATTGTATTCAACATAGTCTATGATTATTGTTTGTGAAATATTTGGTCAGACCCTGAACAAAGTCATAGTATTATGGATCCTACTTCACACTCTGCCATGGCTCAATCTCAATCACAACAAACTAAGTGCTGCATTCTAATGGGCCAACCCATCTGCTATTCCAAAATATCAAACTTGGTTTGCCAACTCAGCCAAATTGTTGGGTAGATCTCTCAAAGACAAAGAAATTGGAACCCTGAAGAACAATTCAAGTAAATTTTGCTTGATACACATTGGGTGAACTACAAAGGGAAGTTGATATGCCTTTCTTGGCGTATCCACATGCTGTATCAATGACAATTGGGAGTTCAAGACAATTCATTTAACATTCAAGCAAATAATTTGGGATTACTATGGTGTCTTAGTTACTTGCCTAGTTGGCACCTTTATCATGCAAAACCAGCTCCACTCAAAGATAAGTTTGATTTTGGTGATTCAATATGTATTCCAAAATGAACTGTTAAATCTATACATGATAAGATGGATTTTTACAGCTTGATAGCATTGTTAGAAGAATCAGGAAAGGTAAAGAAGATCAATCCCACAATCAAATCATAATAGAATATATAAACTAACTTATCATAATATGTTTTAAAGAGAACAAGTAAGACAGAAATGTATTAACATTTAACATGAAGTCATAAATACATTACACACAAGTGAACTTCATAACATTACCTTTGTATATATCTCATTTACATGATAGCTTAAGCCACAAACTCAGCAGCCAGCCATGACTTCCTTGCTTGCAAACTTCAGAAAACGTTAAACCAGTCAATACTTTTGGGATTCTCAAGAGAATAATTTGTGATGTGTTTATCACACACTTGCATTAGCAGTCAAGCACAGACTGAACAAGCTTGAGCTCAAAGTCACCCACAACCCAACCCATTGTTCAAATGCCTATCCCAGTCATCAAAATCAATGGAGCAGTTGTGCAACAAGAAGATGAGGAAGAACCCAAGAGCTCCTATTGTGAGATCAAGCCTGAACATGGCTTGGAACAAGTCATTGTTCCCAAAAGCAAAGACAACTTACCTTCAGATGGGTTAGTCACCGGTTAAACTATGTAGGGATTGGTCACAAGTGGAGTTGAGAAAGTGAGTGACTCAATTATATTTGCAGATCATTGAATTTGAAGGTTTCTCAATCTGACTTATATGTACAAAACAGGTCAAATAAGTTATCCAAACAGTGGCTTTATCACCATCCACACAAAAACCTAACCAGGACAGCAAGAAGTCTCTGTTAGGAACAGACTCATGAAGGATGCAAGAGACTAGTGAGGGTGTTCAGTCTAACTAGATAGATTGCTAAGTGAGGACTCAAGCCTGATGCTCACAAGTGCTCAGGATGTACCCAAGGCATATGTCACAGATATTTAAGTACAAGTGTCACACTACAGGCTCAGAACAGTCTCTGTAAGAGACCCTTCTCCCATCCACATTCTTCCAAGACACTTGGAGAAATGACATGGATATTTAATAAACTGTGCATATTTTGCAAAATTGTGGTAACAACTTGGAAATCCTTCTTGATAAGTTTTTGCAAGTATATCTTATCACAGCCATCCAAAGTAAGAGGAACATTATAATCTTTCTATTTAGCCATGTATTCTATCTTAACATGGCGTAAATTAATGTACTCTCCTTCCAACCTTTCTTTAGATGAAGTTTTAGGAAAATCAGGTGGTCTAACTGATCTGTTAATTCCTTTGACTGCCATAGGAAGACTAGATGTGTATCCTTTTTTAGCATTAGCAAATCTGATTGCTCCCTGAGTATATGAGCTTTCCAAATTTGGACCGGATTGAGATCTCGATGACCAATGCCACTTTTTCAACTTTTTACCCATTTTAGCATCTGAGTTGTCAGAATCTTTGGAATCAATGTCTGTTTTGTGAATTTTAAATTGTTTGTTACTTTTCTTCCAATTAATAGTAGGAGCATATCTAGCATGAGAAGATCTACCTTTTTCTTTATCATTTTTGGCATCCAACAGGTTCCTTGCTGTTTGAGCCATATCAATCTCCTTTTGTGTAAGGATATAAATTTGGGGTGTTTGTCAATGACTTCCCTGATTGTTTTTCCATCCTTCCAGGAGAATATCTTCTGGAAATCTTGGATTAGAAGACAGTTCAAAAACAAATACTGGATTGTCATCTGCTATGACAAGTCTAGTAGCTATTGTTCCATCATTCATGTGAATGGGTCAATCATTATCATTATCAGATTTGATAAGATCCAACACAGACTTGAACCATTGACAGCACCAGTTTGGTGTATCATAAGGGACAATCTTGGCTAAAGACAATTGAACCTCTGTCATAGATTTTTGGTTGGAAGCACCACCTGATTCATATTCAGTGAATATGGTTTCCAACTTCTTGGCCATCACTTTTGCATCATTGTAGGCAGAAGAATCACCATATCTCATTTGAAGTTTTATTTCAATGAAATGGGAGATTTTTTCAGAAAAATAATAACTTTGATTACTTTGAAACCTTTTTATAAACAAAAACATCTTGCTTGAGTTGTGATAATTGAATATGACTGTGAGCTTAATAATGAGAGAAACTTTCACAAAGGTGAAAATGATAGGAAAGTTGAGATTGGTAGTGGTCAACAGATACAGTCGACTTTGAAATAACCCATACCACTTCTTACACATACTCTGGCCCAACCCATGCTTTTTTTGGTCCATAATTTTCATTTTTTAGCCTAGAGGACCATTGTGATAACACATACTCTATGAAAACCCATACCTTTTGGGTTCCATAAAATGGTATGGGTTATTTCAGAGACAACTGTATGATGTCATAGCTGTAGATCTTGGAGAAGAAAGTCCGATCCGTTAGTTGCAAGACCACATGCAATACAATCCAACTTTCCCATTCCACTTTGTTGATAACAAGTTACCAACACCGAGTCTTTGTTTGCTCAGAGATTGATTACCTTTGATCATTGAGCCCCAAAAGATTAATAACCACCACAACTGATTCAATTTTTTTAAAAAACAATGAGAAAAAAGGTCACGCAAAAGGTTGAAATCCGACTTCTGAAAAAAATTGCCACGAAAAGGTCGCAATCTATGTCACTGACCTCCATGGGCGCTTTCCAGGGTCCTGGAGAAGTCCACCGGTGAAAGGATTAGCCAAAGCATAAGGCTAGAAGGAGCTGGTGGACCCCTCGCCGCCGCCACGAGGAAGTCTATTGAGTTTCAGAATTCATGCATTTTTCAGAGGTATAGGTCGGTACATAGAACGGAAGGTGGCGTCTGAACTCTCCGGAATGGTTTGTCATCCCGAGTGGCACGGTCAGATTCACGTGGAAGACAGATCCACACCCTTTTTCTCGATCCAAAAGGGTGAAGGACTATGAAGGGTCCTTGAAAGTTGTACTACAATCGAATTGAAAACGGTGACCTTCGCCAGCCTTCGCCCAATCTGAATGAGGATCATGTCTTGACCATTGAAGTTTACTACCTTTGCTAAAAAGCTTGCCCGGTTTGATCGCGAAGAAGAGACATGAGAGGTCAAATTTGGCCGCAGCCTGCTGCGAGGCCGCTGCGCAGCTCGTCAAGATCCCAAATTTGGCCGATCACAAATCCTGAAAGAGATCGACTTCACCCATGGATTATTACAGGCGTCACGTGCAACTGGTATTCCAAGATAGGTCCAGCGACTTGGAGTGAGTAGACAAATTCTTGCAGGTATTGGATTTTGCATTTACTTATACTGATATCTCGTTACTCGATATATGTGCGACTTTGTATTATCAAGATTGTCAATACTTCAAACCGGAAGACCCCACCTTCATTACCCGAAATTACCATTGCGGGAAGTTGTTAAACATCCATCGTGAGTCGGCTTCCAATATTGCTCAACCGACGTATGTCGATCTAAACTTTCATCATACACCTTGTGACCCTTTAGGTTGTAAAGGTATCCCAATCTCGAAGAACCGAGATTAGAATTATCAAGATTGTCAATACTTCAAACCGGAAGACCCCACCTTCATTACCCGAAATTACCATTGCGGGAAGTTGTTAAACATCCATCGTGAGTCGGCTTCCAATATTGCTCAACCGACGTATGTCGATCTAAACTTTCATCATACACCTTGTGACCCTTTAGGTTGTAAAGGTATCCCAATCTCGAAGAACCGAGATTAGAACCTCGTACGCTGTACAAGTCATTGATCACATTAACAAGTTGGAGATAATTCTTTCATATTATTATTATTTCACTCTCTATCGATTTATCTTTGAATTTATCAGTCTCTCCTGTATCTAGTGATAACAAAGTTACCTGTGCGGACTGTCATGCGTAAGATTTACCCAGTGTCACTTTCAAACCACTCAAAAAAGGGCATATTCCCTAAAGATCCTGCATATCCCGCTTATAAGCTGCCGAGTGAGACTCGACCTACAAAGCCGTTGAGGCTCAGAGTCATCTGATTTGGTCAAAAAAGACAAGTGAAAGTCAGTATGTAGATTGATAATAAAATCTATGTATCAGAACTTCAAAATATACATCACGATCGAAAAAAAACTTGAAGAGAAATTCCAATCCATCGATAGCATCAACTGGTGAAGCTTCACGTTGCAAAATGACTACAACTTCAACTACGTCTTCACCTAAACATGCCAATTTATCATCTATTCCAATCGAAATCAAAGGACGGATTGTCTACTGGGTACATCATCTTCCTTCAACCTACCATAAATCCTCAAAGCCAAAGCCCGGTTCAAATCTAGAGAATGATGATGATTTTGACCTTCGAGGTCTTCGAAAACTTTATAAAAGTCACAGTCAGTATCTTTGTTCAATGATTTGATCATTCTATCCACCATCGTCCCCAACCAATTTGACAATTATTGGTTTGTGTGTTTCTGCGTCAAATATCACCGATTATATACCGTACGCTCCTGCACTCCCAAAGGTCTTCCCTTAAAAGATATCAAATCACTGGCCAGAGTTGATCGTTCATTCCATGAAATATGTTGTACTCATCTGTTTGAGGTATGTACACGATCTCTTTATTTCATCATCATCACATCCTCATGATTCAGTTACCGATGGAATGATTTCATTATTCCAGAGTTTCAATTTAAAAGGTTTTAAGCCAGATAAAATAAACTTCATATTCGGCAGCATCATCAAAAAACATTCAGATCATGTTAGAAGGATCCAGTGGAAAGTTCCCAAAGAGATGCCAAAATTGTCTTTGAAACCGATTGCTCAACTTACTTCACTTACTCATCTTTGTTTGACATCATCCTTTATGGATAAATATTCTTACACTGAAAGCTTCATAGTAGACTTGATCTCCGACCTTTCTCAACTTCAAAGTTTCACGTGTTCAAAGATTGTTGCTACTCATCCAAACCCTTGGGACGATACGAAAGATGGAGAAGCCACTTATTCTCCACTTGGAATTCATCTCGCTTCACTCACTGATCTTACTGAATTAGAATTAGAAGATGTACAATGTTTGGATGCAAGTTGGAATGAACATAGATGGAAATCGCCATTGAAGTCATTATCAATATTAGATTGTGAAAGAGTATCAGCAAAAGTCTTACATGGTCTTACAAAACTTTTTAAATCGACCTTAACAACTCTCGTATTTCATAACACTGAACTTCATCATCGTCCCACTTTGAATTCATCATCAATTCTTAAAGATATCAAAAATGATAAATTTCAATTCGAGTTACCTGAACTAAAAACTTTAGAAATCTATAGCTGTTTACCACTTCAATTCTTAAAAGCTTTCTGACACTCAAAACACATCTCATGGCTCTTATTAAGTGATAATCCGTTTTACAGAAATCAAGATTTAGGAGATATAATCCAACTTGAACTTTGGACTGATTTGAAAAAGTTCGAGATTAGGAATGGAGCGCCATTTCTTTCTGAAAGAGAGATTAATAATTTAAGGGTGGTTTGTCAGCGACAGGCGATTGAACTTGTTGTGGATAGTGATATCTATTTTGATGAGGATGAGGTTGTGGAATATGAAGAGTGAGTGATAGAGATGTTGATCTTGTTTATTCTGAAGTGTTTCCATGTCAAACTTCAATGCCGCCTTCATACATTCCAAGCAGTCTATGTATCATCTATGCCAACCGAAATTATAGAAAGCATCCTATACTGGATTTCTCATCTTCATGACCCAGATCCATTTCAATATCAAAAGCAAATCGATGAAAACAACACTCATCCTTAAGTTTGTCGAAAATTTCGACAGAATCCTGACCGTTGGAGTTAGTGGATAATCGATTGCATATCATTTCACCATCTTGTCCAACTCTTTATCGTCCCCTTTCCCCTCTTATTCGAGTCCTGACAACCACTTTGAAAAACATCGATTTTCTGATTCTCCGTCAACTACCACATCTATGTTCTCCATGTCCATATAAACTTGTACTGACAAGACCTCGTATCCTTTCCATCAATTGAGAAACATCGCATGGTGGCAGCAGAAGCCGCCGGCGTTGTTAAGGCACTTGATAATCAAAGATCTCTTCCTTCAAAATAGTTGTGAGCTATGCTATTTCTGAGAATGAAAAGGCAAGGTCCATTCAAGGTCAACAAAGCTAAAGAAACCAAAGATTGGCAACAATATCATCGAATAAAATCGATCCAATCAATTGATTTTCTCCCTGCATATTCTATCTCCAACCAAAATGGATGTATCAACTTTACTTGAGTCGTTGAAAAGCTAGGATCACCCTTCATCATTGGACTTGATTATCAATTTTGCAGTTGGCTCAGGTTGTTGATGAGAAGGTTGGTGTAGTCCTGAAAATATGGTGAGGCAAGGTCGACATTTGTTCAGCGGTGATTTTCGGCATTTTGACGGTGTGACCCAAGTGGCACTGCTCAACTTTGCCAGGCTCAACTTTGCAAATGCAATCCTTAAATTTTGATCAATGAAGTCCGACACCGAATCAGCCGGATCAGGTCTTCGAGTACATCCAGTCCACCACATCACGGTCAGTAGGGGTTGGGCGAAAAAGCGACCAACCGGTTTGCAAACCCAATTCAGTCGCAGTTCAAAAATTTCGGAATGCTTTCGAGATTGCTCGAAAGCAATATGAAAGCCACTCAAAACTGACAAACATTTTTGTCTGTCTTTTTGTGTCGCAAAAAAATATACCGGTATGAAGTGTTTCTTCACAACTCCAAAGCTGTCGCCATTCAAAAGTCCTACAGGGCTAAGCCATTTGTGCCGCTACAAGCCACACAAACGCTCTGTTCACCTTTTACAGGTCTCTGGTCTCTTCTGTGAAAGGTGCAACAGTCTACCCGAGTACCACCTGGTGTGGATTTTGCTGAGCAATCGGTGGGGGCTGGAGGAGGAAAATCAGAGCCGAAGACTGACTTTGGGACTCTTCGGGTCCCTGGCAGAGCGGCAGACCTTGGCAGACCTGTGAAACCTTCACACAATTGATTTCGGCCATCTTCGGCTCTTTTCGACTCACTTCTCAAGGGCGCAAAACCGGTTGGTCACTTTTTCGCCCAACCCCTAGTGAATGATAATCGGGAGAAGTTCAAAATCCAACTTTCTTCAAAAAAACAAACCAATCAATCTTATCAATTCTGTTCGATCAACGAAAACAAAACCAAATGATGGGAAGATCCATTCATGGAATCGAAAGTAAATTCAATCAATCAACCACCATAGAATCCAATCACCAATCCAATCCAAAAGAAAGATACAAATATCTTTCGAGAGTGAGTTTAAACACCAAATCCAATCTATCCCAAATACAGAACACCGAAATCTAAAGAACTGACTCTGATTCATGATTTGGTTTTCAAAGAGAAAAAAAGAAGTGGAAATCGAACTAAATGAACAATTTGAAGTCTTGAAAACCAACCAAACAGATCTAAGTTCATCCTTAATCGATCGTCAAGGATTTCCTCGAGACGATATCTTAGATTTACCTTCAGTTAGAGTTTCAAGAAGTAGGATCCATGAACTGAAAAACGATCTAAGACAGATCATCGAAGAGTTATCCAAAACCTTACCCTTAATTTTAAAACCATCTTCTACACCAACACCACAAGAAAGCCCAACGAATCTAATGAAACCGTTTGCTCAAGTTGATTTGGATTCCGATCATTCTCCTGCTTATGATTCGGGTATCAGAGCTGGTGATCAATTGATCAGATTCGGTGATATTGATGTTTCTAATCATGATAATTTAAAAGCTTTGGTTTCCTTTACAAAAGAAAATGAAGGTAATCAAATTGATGTCGTTTGGTTTAGAACTTATCAAGATGATCAGAATGGTGGTGGGGAGAAAAGGTCTATGATGTCTAAAACTTTGGTTCCGTGTTCTGGTTGGGGTGGTAGAGGTTTATTAGGGTAAGTTTTTTGTTTGTTTACTTTCTTTTGTGATTTTTTTGCACTGCATTGAATGGGTCGGAAGTTTGATTTAACCATTTTCTTTTCTTTTTGGTTTAATTAGGTTTCATATTGTTCCTATCTAATAATTATGAATGAGAATTTCTTCAAAAATCCTTAAAGGAAATCAAACAATCGGCCATGTTGTATTTTTTTTGTAAACCGACATTTTCTTTCTTTATTCATCTTTTTAATCTGATCAAAAAAACAATTAAATTTTTCAAAAAGAAATTCAAAAAGCATACTTTGAATCCATTCATAAAGCTTTCATCTATAAACACATTTATACCCGAACAAAGTCTCAAGGTTCCATAGAAGTCACAAAAAATCGTTCAACTTCATTCAAAATTAACTTTATATCTTACAAAGTTTGAAAGGAATCCAAGGATACTTTTTGAAAACTGATCTCAAAGCATGTAAGAAAACCAGTTATTCAAGTACTTCATGGTTAGCAACTCATGATCTGTGTACCTAATCAAGCTCGAACATGATCAGTGGAGGCAAACAGTTTCAGGAAGAGTAAAGTGAAGATGAATGTGAATTGCAGAAGTGATTAATTAAATTTTGGTGGAGAATCTGAATGAGTGAACTAACCTCTGCTTGTTTGTGATTTAAAAAGAAAAGAAAAGTGACCAAGTTGGAGTAAAAAACACTGAAGATGAGATCAAAACCAAAGCTAAAGAGAAAGATAAGAGTCATTCAAAAAGAAAAGTGTTGAAGAGTTTGACAAACAGTTGATTCATGAACTTTAGTCAATTGTCTGCTGATACCTTATCACAATCTCAATCCACCAAGACTGTCCGAAGTACACATTACCGAAGTACACATTACTTAAAACTTTAAACCAGTGAAACCAAAATGGAACTAAACATTGAAACAAATTCATCAAGAGTGTCCCAAGAATCATTCAAACCACTACCCCAAAAAAACTTGTATTGTACTCATAAACAAAAAGCTGGATAACTTAGGAAATTCAAAACTTTTATATCGACAAAATCATTCATGAGTTTGATACTAATCTTTTAAAAAATTCTTGCTAAAATGAGAGAAAAATCATAATCTTAAAGTTTGTAAAAAAAATACGAATCAAACTATCACTTATAACCATAATATACTATAACTCAAAGAACTATTAAGAATCATACAACCTAAATCAAAACAACAACAAGAGCAACAACAAGAGCAACAACAGTAAAGAAAAGACTTGAAAAAGAATGGTTTAAGAAATTAAATATCAATAGTTGGGAGTGATTGGATTATTGAGTTGTTTAGCACGATCAGCTTCTTCGTCCAAAATGACTTGTAATTTTTGAGAAGGTTGATTTTGATTTTGATTTTGATTAGAAGAAACGATTGAACTTGAAATCACTTCAACATAATTCTTGGGAAACCAACCCATTTTCCCATTCCTAAGTCTACCTCTCCACCAACCAAACTTTTCTCTTTCTTCTTGAGTGATTGGAGAGATCACTGCGATGATTTCAGATTGATTAAAATTTAATTCTTCAGGTTGATTTGAATGATAGGGATGAATCGATTTAACAAAGGTAAGTTGGTTTGGATCAATGGAAACCAATGAGCTTTGAGATTTCAAAGAGTCTTGTGTTTCTTGTCGTTTGGAAATCACTTTGATTAATTTGTTCATCAAGTATGGGATTCCAAAGATCGTTAAGAAGAAGATCACAATCGGTTTTCGTGATGGTTTAGGAGTGTTGTTTGGATGAGGATTAAGTGCCTTCGAATCTTTTCTCGGATCAAAACTTTTAAAACTATCACCCCATGATTGACCTTCATCCGTACCTCTTCCTCCGATAGCTTTTTTCGTCCATTTGATTATATCAAATAAACTTAAAATCTTACCAATCGAAAATTTAAAAAAATTAAATTGATCGATAAGTTGAATAAAAGTAAAAAAACTAGAATGAGTCATCATAAAGGTAGATTCGAGTAATTGAGAAAATCCTGAAAAAGTCATCACTAAAGATTGTAATAGTTGAAATGTAGATTGAGTTGAATTAGTTAAAGTTTGAGTTAATGATGGATTAGTTTGAAATCCATTGTTAGGATCCATCGGATTAGATTGATACATTGAAGTGGGGTCTCCCATTCCTCCCATATATCCTCCGTAACCTCCACCTGTCATTCCTCCCATTCCCCCCATCCCTCCTATTCCGCCATAGCCACTGTAACCACCATAAGAGCCTAATCCACCCATTCGAGAGTAACCACCGTAGCCTCCGTAACCAGAGTTGAGACCGTATCCTCCGAATCGTGAGCCGTACTAGATTATCAGTTTCAAGAAGAGTAGCCGAAGCTGAAATGAGTATGATGGTCATGGATTGTTGGTTGATAGTGATTAGCCACTAACAGGGCTTGCACCAGCATAGTTTGCTCCATAAGCTATGAATCAAAAAAATAAAGATCGATTCGAAACGAGCACGAAGAGGAGTTGAATCACATCAAAACAAAAATGAATGTCAATACGTTTCAGAACCAGAGGAAAAACGAAAAAAACCGAACCTGAATTGAGACCAGATAAACCATCATTAGGAATAAGCGAACCAGTGGAATTGATCATGTTTGTTGGTCTTGGAGGAAGTTCAGGTGTGGTAGTCGTAGTTGTAGTTGCAGTTGTTGAACCAGTCATCTTAGAATTCGAGATAGGACAAGTTTGATTTGAAGAAGTGATAGGAGGATGATCGTTTGGTAGAGAAGTAGAAGAGCTAAGGTTGGTTTGATTGCTACGTTCCCAAGGTTTTGGTGGAGCGAGAACCATTTGAGATGAAAGTTGAGAGAAGATAAGTTTATGAGAATGATGATGATAGTGAAGAGAACTTGGACTGGGAGGGTGAGAGATCAGATTAGGAAAGTTTATTTATTGATTTTCTGATGACTGTCCACTGTCACACAGTCACACAGATCAAAATTTACATATGCAAAACACTGCATTACAAACACTTCAAGCTCTAGCTTATGTAGACTCTGGCAGGCAAGAAGCCATGGCAATCATCAATCTGACTTCTGCAATCACATCCCATGCTTTGACAAGGGTCTCATTACCAAGTACAACAATGCAAAAGATAACATACTCTAAATTGACCAATCCCTTCAAGTAGGATTAATACCTTCTAGATCTAAGTCACACAAGAGCTTGAAGGCTTCAACTCTTCCAATAAAATAGAATTCTCCTTGATTACTAAGATCAAAACCACTTCTATACATATTGCAATTCAAGATAAATAGTTTGGTCAAAGATCAATCAAGTTCATATTTGTGACTATATTATATACACTTATACTACACAAAGTCAAATTTGGAACTTTTCCACCACTTTTCCAGAATGTTTTGCAGAAAACCCAGAAAGCTTTTGAATCCTGGCCAAAAAAGGCATTCAAACATTTAATTGTTTCCATAAGTCCAGGAATCCAGAACATAGCCAGATTGTTGTTCTGGAAAAGTTCCAGAATCATATGTGGGACTATGTATACTGTTGCAGTAAAAATGAACCTCTTAGAGCATCCACTATCGTCTCTGTAAACGGCCTCGGTACGGTAAATTTCAGCAAAATTTACCGTACCGAGCCCTAAAATCCCCAATCGTGTACAAAGTACACATCGGTACCTACAGATTCGGTCAAAAATCTGTAGAGGTTCAGTAGATTTACTGGACCTCTACAGAATTCCTACCGAGTCGGTATACACCAAATTTGACCAAATCTACCGAAGATACCGAGCGAATCAATCACCGCCTTCCCAAAACCACCCTCTACTCCTTATCACATATCCTTCGACTTCTATCACCCTCTCATCGATCAACTTTTTTATCTTCCGATCGATAATTTTTTCATCTTCTTATCAATCAACCATTTCAAAACCATCTCATCTTCTCAACAACAACCTCATCAAATCAAAACAACTATCAAATGAAAATATTGTGCAATTTTCTTGTCATTGTACACTTGTTTTAGCGATTCAATCACTCAATTTTTTCTCTTATTGATCTGGTAGTTTGTAAAGACAAGTCGGATTGAAGGAAACGAGTCGATGAAAAGGAATAAACGCTATGTATCCATTTTTCAGAGCCAAGGATAGCTTGCAGACTATTTACCAAACGTGCAATTTATCTACGATTGTGGGACAGGCTCATTTCTGTACGGTACGTACCGTACAGAATGGTATTTACTGAAACAATAGTGGATTTCCACGTTTCTGTACCTAATTTACTGTACTGTGAAATCTGTACTGTAAAATTTACTGAAAATTTACTGTAACGATAGTGGATGCTCTAAGAAAAGTCAAAAAAAGATCATGTACAATATGGAGTTACAGTATGGGTTATGATAGGTAGTCAGATCATTCATGTAGAGTCTTCCTCTCCCTTAGCCCGGTTTCTCTTTTCTTCTTCGTGGATCTTTCTCATTCTCACTTTTATCTCTTTATACATATTACTGGTTTCTGATCATCAAAGTGCTGGACTAGGAATTGAAGCAAGGTGATTAGATAAATCCCTTGCTCTCTTGAGCTTGCACCTTTTGACAAATCTTCCCAGTGAAGGTGGAGAGTATCACTACACCTTACAACTACACTGTGCAAAAACTGCGCTGCAAGGTGCCCCATTGCAGCGGGATTGTCAGAAAACCCCACTGCACTATGTAGCACCGCTGGGGCTTGGTGGTTTTCAACCCACTGCGCAGATTTGCACCACAGCCCAGCACAGTGTGCGCAAACTGTGCGGCCCTGCACGGATCCAAGCAGATCCAGGCAGATACCCCTACCCTGCCTCCACTTCAGCCAAAGCAGGCATGACACTCCCCTTGCATCCAAATCTAGCCAATATGACACCGACAAACTAGTCAAAACGTTTTCATCTTGGTTTACAAGTCCTCATAAAGACTCAGGGAAGTTGTTTTACAGTTGAAACATAACAACTTTCCCGTCTTGTAGTTTTTTTGTTGTAAAGAATTGGCCTTCATACCCCTTATTTCCTCTTAACTCTCTGGTCTCGTTGCCCTCAAGTTTTTGTGGTTATAGTTTCTTTTTATCTTGCTTTCTTCATATAATACTATGGCCATTTTTTTTACCATGATTTACAATTATGTGTGCACTCCACTGCTCCGCTGCGCTGTGCACACTACACTTTAGCGCATCACAGGGAAGGAGCCTGTTTGAGCACACTGCACATCCTGCGCACCACAGCAAAGCGCCAGTGCACAATTTCTCCGTGCACTACAGTAGTGCGCAAAATTGAGGTGCACTGCCGTGACGTCGGGGATTGGTGTAGGTTGTATGTGGTGTTGACATGTTGGATTTGGATTATTCAGACATTGGAAGGTATTGGCATGGACAATCTGGTACTAAGTCTGTCACTTTCTTTTCCTTCTCCACTAAGGCTTGGAATCTGACCCAGGCATTTTTGGCCCTCTGAATGTGCTCTTGGGCTTCAGAGTGGTGTGCTCACAGGCCAGCCAAAAGGGCCCAAACAAATACTAGGTTTGAGGTATGGGTGGTGACAACAGGCAATTTGAGAAGCTCAGAAAAGTGGCAAAGGGACCAAAAAAGGTAGGAAAAGATTTTAATACCAGCAATGGCAAAAAACTCACAAATTTCCTGTTTGCTGGGCCCCACAGGAGAATGTTTTCTCTTGATGCCGGGCTGAGTTGACCACCAAAAAAGGGCCCAAAATGGCCAACTTTGTGACATACCCTGCGTCATAACCTTGACAAGATACTGAAGTAGTGGCGACAATAAGTGTATCTCCCTGTATCAGCCTAATTTGGTTTTATCAAGTAAAGGATTCCAATACCCAAATCATTCAAAAAACAAACTAAGATCATTTTGGGGGCTCTCTTGTTGGGGAATATGCTCAATCAGCCTCAGCAGAACACATGGTAAAGCTCTTGTTTATTTTTGTGTTTTATTAATCAGATGGACAATAACAAAATTTGGGTTGTTGTTGTAATTGCAAATTGACTGGTCCATGGTTTTGTACTTATATATGTTCAAATAGGTTACCTGCCATGATCTCCTATAGTAATATTGAGTGCACAGGAACTTTGCCAAAATTTGTATTCACACTGTTGTGTGTTTGATTTTTTTTGCCAAAGAATTCAAGACCAAGTCAAGATCCCCCGACAATTGCTTTTTACAACATTGTAGAGTTTGGTTCAACTTGAAAGAGAGCAAAAATAATGCTGCCTAGATGTCTACAGGGTAATGACTTGTTTTCTGTGGTACACAAACCACCAAAACAAAATATTCTGGAGGAAAGTTACATTGACATTGGGTTTTCAGATGAGGTGGTGCGGAACCACAAATGGGACAATGAGATTACCAGTTTTGAATATTCATAAAATCTCAAAAAAGTGGGGACCAAGTTTTTAAGATCTGTTTATGAGAGATATGAGATCCAATTAAAAAAATGGTGTGGCAGAATTTTATGCCAATTCTTAGAACCATATGTGCATTGCAGCTAACTTGCCATGAATTGAGGGAGATTATGTCTCTTCCTTATATATGACATGTGTTGCTCAGCATTGAACAGCCACAGCTGAGCTGCAGTCACTGAGGATTGTTGAATTCTATTGATATATGTCTCACACACTCAGGTGTTACAGAATCTCTGCCCAATATAAGATGTACTTCTCTGGCCTATTCACAAATAAAATAAAGGAGAGTGACACAAGGTGTACAAGTCTATTCGGAAAAGATACGACACATTAGTCGGGGCCGGTGGAGTAAATGTGTTGTATCTTTTCCAAATAGACTTGTACATGAAAAAGTTGATATCAGTGCCTCTGTTGACTCATTGACAAAATTTGATCCATCAGTAGGAATTGATTTTTTTCCAGCCCTTGTTTCAAACCTCCTATCTAAGACCTCTCATTTTCAAAGATGAGCAGGGCCTCAAGCATTTTGATCAAACTACAGTGGTTAATGGGGTGCTATCTATCCTCCTTTTCATGTCAACTTTTAGCATAGGAAGCTTTGTCCATCCAATGAGATAAGGAACAAATCATATCTCTGATAGAAGATAATATTGGTATAGACTTAGTGACACCAACACCCAACATCAGCACAGTACAGCGCAGAATGCGCAAAACTGCGCTGCGCCAAAAAATTCGAAATGACCCAAAATCTTTGAGGCCCCTGCGGTGCGCTCCAGCACAGCGCAGTGGGGAATTTTTTTGTTTTTTTGGCAGATGGAAAGCCCATTTTTTCAATTTTCCATTGGAGCAGTGACACATCCACTGCGCTGCAAAAAGGCGCAGTGGCGAAAAATCAAAAAGCCCCTGCGCTGTGAAAAGGGGCAGTCGCCAAATTTTCAAAAACCCCTGCGCTGAGCCACAGCACAGGCGCAGGCTGTGCCTCGCATTCTGCGCTGTGAGTCGGGTGTTGGTGACACCCTACTCCTGCATGGCCAATCAGGTCATCCATCCTCATAGTTAAAAAAACGCTTCCACCTCCAACACCACAGAGGGTGTAAGTCCTGTCAAAAATTGCAGAGGGGCTGACATCTTTGCTGAAAAATGGAAATGATAAGGGCAGCAATGAATTTCAGAAGCGGCAGAGTCTGGTAATTGAATATAAAATAAAATGCCAACCTTTCTTCAAAGCCCTCAAACTACCTGACCAGGGAATCCCAAGGAAGAAGGTGATTAAGCACTTGGAACATTTAAGTAAAAACAACCAGTATTGGAAAACAGCTGTTGTTGCATACAATTATCTGTGTTTTGTTATTGAAGAAATCCCAGGTGGAGTAGAATGGCTGCAAGAAGTCAAACAAAAAGCATTGGGAACTCCTACGGATGAGGATGAGGATGACAAAACAATGTTGTTTCCAATCAAGAATTGTAAATCAATGTAGGGTTATCATGGTTGATTGATGTCAATTTCTTTTCAGCTTCAGGATTTCTATACAAGGGTTATGTGGATCATGTTTCTTATATCAAAACCTACAATTGATTTCTTCAGTCTACTACATTCATTGGTCTCTTGAATGAAGACCAGTTATCTCATTTTTGACTTTTTCCTCTGACCCAAAGATCAAACTATACCCATCATCCTAATCTCAAAAGACATGTATGACTGTTTCCTTCTGACGGTATAGATTATTTCAGCAAATTTGAAAACCTTTGTTGTTATTATGGTGTGTGTCTGAATCTTTGCAGATGGATACCTCAAAGTCAATCTGATCTGAACTGTGCACAAGTGACATTATGTGTGTTATAACTTATTGTGCTCTTTAGAGCTGTTCCTGGTTGACTGCTTCTAACCTCCTCAATCACTCCATGAAGTGATCAAGTTGAGACTGATTATTACTTTGATATTCAGTGAGTTTGAACTCTTAGGTGTATGAGTAGAAACTGGATATCCTGATGTGACTTGTGAACTTGAGGTCACCACTGAACAAATGCAGTCCCAGGGGTACAGAGATTACCATCTGCTACCGACCGGTGAGTAGCAGTGTAAAATTTGAGCTGACATATTTGAGTTGGAGATAGCCAGAACTTTAAAATCTTGAACTAGGCAATGGGCATGGAATTTTTGCTCACCAAAAGGCTGAGCAAAATGATTAATCCGCCACTCAACTCATGCCAGAAAACTTTTCAAAACGGAACCCCATCTATTGCGGGATCTGATTTGTACCATAAGTTTTATTAAAACATATCAATCAACGTTGATACTGAAAAATGAAATGGACATCTTAGTCCCCAAAGTCTACACAACTCATCTGGTTCATGAAAAAATATTGATTCTGGAAATCAAAGATTCCATCTTCAAATCTATCGTCAAAAGTCACAATCAAATCATAAGACATTTTTATACAATTAGTTCAACTACAATAACTCCTACTCTTAGTCATACTCTTGAAAGATATTTTCCACCAAGCTATACCATCAAAACCAATCAATCCATGATTTCAAAGCTTTTCGAGTAGGTTCAGATGCAACTCTTAATCCAATCTGTAATGGAACCCAATCTTCAAAATAACATTTGATTAATTCTTGATCAATCAAACTTGATAATTGATCTTTCTTTAAATCTTTTTCTAATTTATTGATACACTATTCAAAAAAAGACCAAAATATTGAAAAAACAAACAACCATTTTGCGAAATTAGTTTTCAATGATTTCAAATTCCCCTTTGTTTGGAGAAAATTGATTGGTTAATGAAACTTAACTAGTTTCAGTCCAATTGCTGCTCTTCTTACTGGTCCACCTCTCGATGCATCTGAAATCCTTTCACTCAATTCAACCACTCTTAAATAAGTTTGATAAGGCCTACAAAAATCATCAGATCAGTTTTTCTTTATAATTCTCTTGTAAAAAATGAGAAAGGATAGTAACACTACACCAAATGTAATCTTTACCCGGCGGTAAAGAAAACTACTGACATAGAAAAGTCCTGAGGCAACAGGAAGAGAGCTAAAAATCTGAAAAAATATGCACCTTGTTCCTAGATGTTGGGGCGTCATGATGAGTATTTTTTTGTATTTTACACGCAGATATTGGTTTATGTACTAACAATAAACGCTGAAAATCATCAAAAACTCACATGTAACAATACCTGAAATTTGGGTCATGAGTATGAAGACAATATTTTGTGGTCTAAAAACTTCAATAACTTTTGCAATTCTGCTCCAAATAACTCGATTTTTGGTTCATTCAAAAGCTGAACTATTCTCCTTCACACTTCATAATGTTAGTAAGGTGCTATCTAGTCATTTAAACACTCGACATATGTTCAAACAGTTCTGCATGAATTGCTCTGTAGGATCTTTTTTAGACCAGCTACAGATGTGATGTCTCAATGAAAAATGTAGAGGAAAGGCTCACCTTTTTAATGCACTTCAAATCGAGTGATTTGACCCAGAACTGCAAAAGTTATTGATGTTTGAAGATTCCAAAATCCTGTCTTCAAAGTCAAGGGCCAAATTTCAGGTATTGTTACAGGTGGGTTTTTGATGATTCTCAGCCTTTATTGTTAGTACATTAACCAATATCTGTGTGTAAAATACAAAAAAATACTCGTCATGACGCCCCAACATCTAGGAACAAGGTGCATATTTTTTCAGATTTTTAGCTCTCTTCCTGTTGCCTCAGGACTTTTCTATGTCAGTAGTTTTCTTTACCGCCTGGTAAAGATGACATTTTGTGTAGTGTAATACATTCAACACTCACAATTCAAAATGTCCGGCTGTATAAGCTGTTTCGGCATATCAAAGGAGATGAAATGTATTATCAGGTTGAAGAATAATCAAATCTTCTAATGCACTTAGAGCACCCACTATCATGAGGGTGATTCATCGCAGATTTAGCGTTCCTGAGCGCAAAAATTAATCATGCGTGTTTTACCAAAGTTGTTAACCGCATGAAATCCACTATGGGATGATGTAACACAGGGTTCAACTATGATAATGCATTCTTAAGATACTCTACACACTATGGCAAAATCATGAAATGAAGTATAGTATCTTACCACACCTCACCCAGCGCAATTCTATGCTGATGACCACCTTGGTCACCAGAAAGAACCAAAATGAAATCTTCAGTTGTTGACAAAGAGAAATAAGCCAACAAGCTTTCTCACCCCTCGTTTGATCTCGGTGAGATCGATCGCGTGAGATCACTTTTTTTTCAAAAAAAAAGCTTCTTTTTAGCAAGTTCAGAGTAAACAGCTACTCTTAACAAGCCGAGATTTTGAGGGGACATGGAAGATGTTGAGTGATGGTGTGCAGAGCTGGATGGATGCAGATGGATCATCGGCTGGCAGTTGACCGATTGGATGCGTCAAATCCTACAATAAATCAAGTTTTAAGCTTTCGTAGATTTGAACAAGCGCGATGCAAAATTTGACGCAGTCGTAGGGACCGCAAGTGTAAAACAGGCCCATAGTGGACCTGTGTGTAATTTAGGCCCCGTTTGGTTGCGATTAATTCAAAGTGGTATTTACACAATCGCGGTAAAATAATCGCATGTCAAATTTGGGCGTTTGGTAGCCCAAATTTAGAGATTATTATACCACATGATTTGGACAATAATCTCCAAGTCATGTGGTATTGGTACAAACTCGTTTTTGGCAATTATTTTCAATTTACCTCCGATTATTTCCGTACGTGAGGAAGGGACTTGTCCAAATTTCGACCTCTTCACACACCTCACTCCCACATTTCTACATTTTCCCTTCTACTCCCACTCAAATCATTTCTCCTTTTATCAACTCCAGCTTGAATCGATTTTCCCTTCCTCCAACTTCTCTCTCCTCTCATCAACCAAATCCAACCATCAAATAACTATCTTTTTCCTCAATATTATTTCCTGGCTGTACGTTTGGACACACTGACAGGATTCAGGTGGCCCTTGATACTAGACCATTTGGCTCTTGACTGCACTGACAGGATTCAGGCAGTTCAATCCATACTTGCTTTTGATTTTTTGTCTTCTCCATCTATCTCTATCGCCTTGATTGTCAATCGATTAACTCCATCCACCATGCCAAAAGCCAAGAAAACCAAGGATGCTTTTGAACTGGAGGCTCCGCATTTCAACCACGCCAAGACTCGATTCATCGTCGATGCTTTGTTCATCCAAAAGCTTGCAGGAAAGAAAGCGGACTCTGGATTCAAGTCAGAGGCTTGGAATACCGTTGTGACTGATTACAACCAAACCTTCAAGTGCAACCTCACGAAGGGTCAGATCAAGAATAACTTTCAAACTGTGAGTTCTTTTCATTCTTTGCTATCTTTGGATTCCATTTCCTTTTGTTTTCATTTCCTTCTTTTTGATCGTTGCCCATCAATTCTTTGTTTTATATTATGTAGTTAAAGAAAGCATACGTCATCTTCCACAAGTTGAGATCGACCTCAGGTGTTGGTTGGGACGAGGATAGTGGGATGGTCATCACCGAGCCTGGATTTTGGGCGATTTATGCTCCAGTACGCTGTGTTTCTTCCTTCCAGTGGCTGATCGCTCATTCTCTAGGCTGACTACATACAAATCTTGACCTTTGCAGAAGAACAAAGGTTCATCTATCTATGAAACAAAACCGTTTCCACTCTGGAAACTCATGAACGAGTTGTGTGACGACACCAACGCTGCTGCCGATGGGATTATTGGAACTCAAACCCAACCGAACCCTGTTCAAGACCCTTCTATCGATCCTGATCTTGCCAAAGCATCGGCCAACAAGAGCTTTTCCGAGGATGATCTCAATCATGATGATGTTGATTCCAACCATGATGATCAAGATTCCACTCGCAACGATCACGATGAATTCTTTGGGCTCCCTCCATCCATAGTCCGTGCAAACCGGTCTCAAGGCAAGTAATTGTTTAATCTTCATTCCAGCTCACGCTTCCAATCAACTCATGTGCCTTGGAATGTTCGGATTTAGCCACACTTGACACTGCCAACCCAGGCAACAGTTTGGGATTAGGACAATTTGACCCAGCCCATCAGGCCAGCGACCATTCAGGAAGTGAGACCGATGAACCGATCACTCAGTCTCAAGCTTCTACCTCGATGACTGCCAAAATCAGAGGCAAGAAGCCTGCTGGACGCATCAGACCCAATACTAAGGCCAAACTAGCTGCCTCTTTAGATAGTTCTGTCGATAGCCTCAAGAATCAAGCCTCAGAAGCAATCAAACGAGAAAGAATAAGAGCTCAGAGTATTATAGATCATGATAATGCCAAGGTCACCATATTGGAAACAGCAGCTCGATTGGATCAAAAATTACTTATCATCAAGAGTTCGAAAGCTCCTTCGCAACCTGAGGCAATGGCGCTCTTTACCCTTAGCTACAAAGAGCATTTCAGTGATGTGATGGCTGCAACATCAGCAATCCAGCTCTTTGAGAATGAGGACAAGTGCACTACTTTTATCAATTCACCTCCAGAGTTGCGCTGGACTTGGCTTGCCATAGCTCTTGGGTATACTGTTGTCAATGAATGATTTTGACTCAAGAATTTCAAATTAGGTTTTCTTACTCAATTAAATACAAAGACGCAAGTTTCTTTTACATTATCTTAAATTTATATTTAAAAATTATCAAGTCGTTTTCTATTACATCACTATCAAAAGTTGTAATTCACAAGTGGTTAAATGTCCTATTGTATCTAAAAGCCATGTTAAAACGCCATGCAAAACATATGTACAATTCAGTTGCTCAAGCTTGGTAGCGAGGATGAGCAACATATGCATCCCACATTGACATCGCCATGCGATCTCGCTCATCAACAGCTTGAGATCGAAGATGGCTTGAGGCCACCCTATAAGCCTCCACGTTATGAGGCCATTGATCATCTTCATCATTGTAATTTTTGTTAAAGAAGTCACCCCCACCTCTCCTGACTATAATATTATGTAAAGTGCACATTGCAATTACTAAAGTAGCTTGAAGTTCGATTGAGAATGAGTGCATGTTGCTCAGCATCTCAAATCTCTTTTTGATTACACCAAATATCCTTTCTATAGCATTCCTTAAACTTGCATGTCGTAAGTTGAATAACTCTTTGTAATCCCTGGGCCCAGCATTACCATGGGCCCATTCTTTAAATGATATCGGATTCCACGATATGGAGCTAAAAATCCTGGCTCATTGGCGTAGCCTGCATCAACAAGATAGAATCTATCTATAAAGTAATGAATGTCAGCATTGAGATAAATCCACATCAAAAACAAGAGTGTGACCCACCTGGTGGAACTACAAATCTACCTTGCACCCTAGCCACCTCCAATACCCTGGCATCGGCAGCTGATCCTTTGAAGCCAGCAAGAACAAATGTAAACATGAGGTTGAAAGAACAACCAGCAAGTACATTCTGGCTAAGAAAGCCCTTTCGATTACGGTACAGTTCATGGTCGGCACTCCTAACCACAGCTGAGATATGAGTCCCATCTATAGCACCGATGCAGTTCTTGAACCAAGGATATTGCTTTGAATCGGATGCAATCTCAGGTGGGCATGGTGTTTGAGGACCAGGTTGTTTTATGACCTGATTTGAAACTGCTTCTAAAGCATGAGCAACTTTATTGAAATATCTACTAATGGTTTCTTTCGAATGTTGAAACCTTTCAGCAGCCATTCGATTTGAAGCATGATTTCCTACAATGTATAGGAACATCATAACTTGTTCTCTAGAATCGATGTGGATAGAAGATTTGAGGTAGGGGTCCAAAATCTCCATCAGTGAGAGGAAGGTGGTCTTGTCCATGCGACAGACCTCATGGAATCGAACCGGACTTCCTTCAAAGACCTCGCTAGCATACTCATGACCTCCGAGTCGAGAGGTGCGACAAGGGATGTTTGGGGCTAGTTCCGCAGCCAGAAGTTCTCGGGCTAAGATGATATTGTTCTCAATTTGTTCTCGGAGAGCGTTCTCATTTTCATTTGATTCAAATAAATTATCGCTTTTCATTGTCATCATGGAATCGAAGCTGTCAATCGAGGCTGTTGGAGATAGGTAATCAGACATGGCCAATCTAAACTTATGGCCAATCTGGATGGGTGGTGGTGGAAGATTGAGGTGTACAGTTGTATGTAGAAGGTTATGTCGTTTTTGGTTTGAATTGGTTTTGAGTTGCCAAACGAAGAAAGTCAAAAACCATCGTTTATTTTCGCACTCCAATTAAATTGTGAGTTGGGACTTTTCCTGCATTATTTGGTCAATTCCTGCGGTACACTTTTACTGTAGTGTACAAAAAACAATTGCAACCAAACGGGGCCTTAGCGGTAAAGTTACGATAAATCACCTCTTTACCGCAACCATAGTGGGTGCTCTTAGAGCTTGATCATAACTTAGAAAGATATCACCAGAGGTAAATGAAAGATATTAACTTTTGTGTTGAAGAAAATTAAGACTTAAAAGGAAGAAAATCTTACAGTCCTAAAGTACAATAAGTCTCAGCTAACTGAATTCAACTTTCAGGATCTGAATAAACGGTATCAAGGTGTTGGAATGGGTCTCTTTGGTTTGGATACTACCTGTATCTTGATCACTCTGAACAGCCGCGAGGTCGGGTTTTAATTTGCATGATAAAGAATAAAACCTGGCCGGATAAAATAAAGCGCAACTAGGACATAGCCTAAGATTGGAAACAACTGGGAGTTCTATGCGGGCGGCTGTCGCGCTTCTTTCCGCGCCTACAACAGTACTAAAACATATTTATAAAGGTCATGAAGAAAGATAGAAGTTACAATTTATAAGTGAAATTGAATTATTTTGGATTTTCTATGACTAAAGTTTAGGAAACAAAAGGCTTTTTAACGATACTGCAGGGCGGGTGGGAGGTAAATAATTTTAACTATTAAAATTCTCAATATAGGAAAGGATTTTTTAGGATAACGATGTGGATGAAAAATAGCTAATACAAATTGGATTATGATTTTTCGATGAAGAGATTGGGAATTGGGGAATTATCTTCATCCCACTCATCCAACTCTTCTTCATGACATTATAGAATAGTTTGCTTATGAAAAGAGAAACATTATAATTTCATCTGTGAAGATTGGGAGTGGTGAGCGTGATCCGGTTACATTGTTATCCAACACCCTTTCCCCGACCCATTCCCATATGTCAATACGCGTACCGACTTCCAGTACTAAGAGCATCCACAACGGTCCACCTACTTTGCGAGCCCTGGAACAGACCCCCGATCCTGATTTTGTGGATGTAGGGGGTCAAAAAAACAGGTGTCCACAGCGGTGCACTTGAAGTCAGGGGCCAGAACTCGATTGAGTGATATGGTATGCTTGTACCATATCATCTTGTTTCGAGTGCGGTTTGAGACGTGACTATATCGGTCACGTGGAAGCAGTGGCACGTGATATTGGGAGCCCCTATAGACCTCGCAGATGTGGGGGGTCCGGATGGAAATCTGGAGGCCCCCGACGTCTCACCCCCGATTGTGCGAGCTCCGTTGGAGCGTTTTTTTGCGTTTTGACCCCCTACATCGCTGGGGGCCCACAAAGTAGGTGGACCGTTGTGGATGCTCTAAAAGACTAATCGCTTCTCCTAATGAAAATATGCATTCTTCAGTTTTGTCTATCGTTGATTTTTGATTAGTTTGATTGACTAAATCTGGTAAAGGTGAATTATGTAAATGTAATGCGATTAATCGTTTTCTTATTCGCTTTTTCAATCATTTTGTTTTCAATCAATTCATCTTGTTAAATCAATCAACCTTTCTTCCCAAAAAATAAATCCCTTCATAAGATTTGAAGAAGAAAGAGAAAGAAAAACTAAGATCAGTTTCACCTGTGTTACCTTTCGAAGTAGATTTAGTATCAATCGGTTTATTTAATTCAAGTTCATAAAACTCTTTGGCTAATTCGATTTCTCCATTCGATTCAAGTAAAATTCCATGTAAAACCAAACATCTAGGTGATCCTGGAAACTTCTTTTCTAATCGGTCTATAGATTTCTACACAAAAAAAAATTAAAACTCAATTTCAGTTTGCTTTTCTTTTTGATCCTAATGATAGCTCCTGACGTCCATTCGCATCCTCATTCTCTCATTTTTCAATCAAAATCACAGCAAGTCGTGAATTCATGGAATTTTCAACCGTCACCCCACTCTCTGATGATCGCTGCAGTTGGGTACAATGGTGTGGCAAGTGACATCCTATTGGCACTGAAGTGTGATGGATTTGACTGCAAAGATACTATGAGGGATTGCTACAAAGAGGTTTGGTAACAAGAGAAAAACACAGCAAGCACATTGGAATTCAGGCGAATTTGATCAACATTTGTTTCTCCTCCTCTTCTAAAACCTTGTGAGGCGTGCCCTGTTCCGAATCCCATAAACAACTAAAATCACGATGCAGTTCTTTTTCACCAGGTGTACATCCAGTCACAGAACTGTAAAGAGAATTAAAAGCCTACCAAAACAAAACGGAAGGAAATTAACGATTTTGAACTTTGGTTGTGGATGAGAATTCGTGCCCAGCTTACCATGATGAACAATGTGTGGACAACTAAAAACTTGACTGGCAAAAAGTGGTCTTTGAATCCTTCCCAGCCATAGAGAGCATAGATTCCAATGCCATGGATTGTGCTAGTTTACAAAAGATGATATGGATGGTAAAGAAGGATGAAGACCACCATGTAATCAAAAATGAAGGCGGTTCTGTAATGGTCGTCAAAAAGAAAAGATGTGTGCGAATTAGTGTGATATCGATGGAGTATCGTAATATGTATGTACATGTATGCAGATTCTAGAAACCTACAGCATAGATATGATGTAAAGGAGCTGAGTCAAGTGAATTGGGAATATGTACTGATCAGCATACAAGAGATGTGATTATCGTGATGTTGGAAAAACACTCACGCTCACAAAAGATGCCCAGGACACATGGTCGGTTTCTGGATCTGGATATACAGATGTTGGAACTAGGAAACCACATCGTGAAATGTCAGTGGAGTAAAAATGAAGATATGCATCTAATATGTAAAGATTGACTTACTGGCTGGGATGATGCTGGCGAGCGCACAAAGGTTGGCCATCCAAACCGTAGCGAACCCATTGCGGGCAAGTTGCCTCTTCCATTCACAAGACCGGACAGGATAATTAGACATTTTGTGTTGGTAATTGGTTGAGGGACGGTGTGAGATTTAAGAGAAGATGAAGAATTGAAGGAAAATTGAAAAGATGTATAGTCTGGAAGGCGGACTGATGAGTTGTGGAGAAGTGAAGTTTTGGGGAATAAAAGACCACAAAGCAGACACAGTATTTATATCTGATCATCACTGCAGGCCGACTTCCGCTAGGCAATGTTGACTTGGGCCGGAAAGGAATCCTGCCATCTTGAGTAGATTCCTTCTTGCACAACCGCTAGGCAAAAATGGCCCAGCCTCAGGGCAGGAAAGAACTCCCGCTATATTCAGTAGATCTCTCATGTTTCCCTGATTGTCTATCAGTATCAGTCCATCTCACCGCTCTCCCTTGTATTACACTACGGTCCAAACTTGAAGGGCAGAATATATGTGCTCAAAACATGCCCAGTAATGACATTCAAGAAACATGGGACTTACTTAGCAGTGACAAATCTGTTTTGTAATTGTGATGTGGATTTTGTGTTTTTGTAGAAAATATGTAAGGCTGATGTATTTCTTATCATAATTTGAAAACAGATATTCTCGAGGTATCTCGATACCTCATCAGACGTGTGCTCGGGCTTCGAACCGCTGGTATTCTGGGGTTTCCTAGATAAGATGATCAAGGCAAGGGGACTCTGACTATTCTTGACATTAGGCAGAATTGATCGCGATGATATGGATGGGGAACAAACCCAAGTTGGGATGTGTTTTGAAACATAAACACAATGATATTTGATGATACAAAAATTGTGAAAGACAACTCTACTCATGTCCAAGGACCAACATGCTGGGGCTATGATTTGAGTTTGTTGGCATCATCATATCATTCGACCCATTCGGGTATCCATTCCACTAATCTTCTCATGATCAGTCGGATTAGCTTGAGCTTCATAAATGGCTATGACCGGTTTGCGAGACAGCTGTTGAGGAATAACTCTCAGATCAACATTTGTATTGCGTACAACTATCTTTGAGATTACTTACTGCGCTAAATTCTCCTTTGAACCCAAGAAAATAAACTCGTGTCTTGGAACCTGATGGATTACCATCGATGAACAAACTTAAAACGCTCACCGATGAAAATTTAGCGACGCTGATGTCATAGAAATTTCGTTTAGCTCCTCATTTGAAGAATGATACCGCAAACGTTCACTCACCGTACTGGGAACTCTACTAGCTCATCTGTTGTAGGAATCTCAAGCACTTGGGTAGGAGTACATGTCTCTAGGGTATCAAAGTCGAGACCAGGCTCATTAGCAAACTACAAAGAATTGATTAGATCCTAGTATGGCATGCCTTCTAGAAGAATTTGACAATCATTAACTTCCGAATTTGAGTTGAGTAGGTGCAAAATCACCAGGGATCCCTCGAATTAAGATTGATCTTAATTTAACAGAACCAGTAAAAGGAATCCTAATAATCATTTGTTGATCGGTATCCGATTCGGAAAACTATACCCAATTCCCCACCCATCAACCCCTTATACTTTCATTAGAAAGTTACCAGATTATACGAAAGAAAACAATCGAATTAAATCTGATGTCGTTATACGAGTTCTGCCCACCATCGTATCATCCATTCGATCTGACCATGGTTTTATACAATTCTTGGCTGGATTCTCTGGATCGAGATTACAACTTGTGATCTGATCACGATCAATCTGTTTGAAACAGAGGAAACATAAGAATCAAATTGGTTGAGAAGATGTATATGGTCAAATTTGTTTACCTTGGAGTAAAGAAAGTCTAATTGATTTCCCCGATCATAAACATGATGATGTCAGTGTGAAATCAATAAAATGCCAGATCCAAATCAGATCCTTTTAAATTTGAGACTTACCTTGAGTACCTTCTCCTGGTTTAACATGCTCATCATCGGGTATACCTCCAGCTTGATGAGAACAACATCCATGATCGTGACTGTGATTCGGGTGACTCATGATCCGCAAAATTGATTTGAAACATGAAGAGCTTCAAACGTTAAACGGTGTGCCGTGTGAAATGTATGCAGGAGAATGGTACCGAAGCTCAGCCCAAATATTCACGGGTTTCAAACTTCCCAGCCTCGAGAGTTAAGGAAGCTCATCAAAACCAACAGAACTTTTCGTGGTTGAGAAGCAGAGGGGATTTATCATTTCATGATCAAAAAAAAGATACAAAAATCAAAGGAATGATGTTGAGAAAATTGTTAATAAGCGGAACCCTTGAATGTTTCTTGCTTATCTGTTCATGAGATCAACCTCACCTCATGACTTGAGAAGACTTACTTACAATTTGTTCTGTTGTCTCGCAATTGCGCACACAATTCTTGATTTTGTCACAAGTTTCTCTCATATATATTGTTGCGTGATTTCTGTTCAGGATATCATCCAAAGCTCATTCCTTGATTTTTGTTCGTTGATGAAACCAGTGACTTCTGGGTCTATGACAGAGAAGACATTGATCTTTGATCAATAAGCAACATATTCCTTGGTCCAATCACTTGCCATTTATAGGCGTTTTCTAATATAATCGCGGTCAGATAACCCCTGCGCTCTCATCAAATCGAAGTATTCAGGTAGTAGACTCAGATTCTTTATCAACAGATTGATGGCAATATCTTTACAAAGGACCAAAGTTTTTTTCTTCGGCAAGACTCAGTCTCCACCCTTGATCTTTTTCCCGAGAGCTCTGAAGAAGATACGAAGCTCTTCTTGAACACAATTTTCCTATCTAGTCCCTCCAACGACTTCAAGGGTCAGGTTTTGCATATATTGCAGCGGCACCAGCGCGGTGCGGAGCAATGTCCAGCCTTCCTCTACATGGACTTAGATATCAACAGTCATCAACTGCGCTCAAACTCCCTCGTTCATCGGCATGGACAGGCATGGACCCATCCGAGCCGACCTCAAAAATGCCAAGGAACAGGTTGGAGTCAAACCGGCGTATGTAAACAGCAGTTTACATCACCGAGGCTCCGAGCTGATTGAAAGAGATACAATCCTTGTCGTAATGTCAATTCTTGTATAACGAAACTCAGCCTGAGCCCCGACCCGAAAAACGCGGGTAATGGCCTGCCCGCACCCCGAACCGATATCCAGCAGGCTCCCCCGCGCCCGAACCCTACCCGAACCGATCAAAACCCGGCTTCCAGAAGGCCCCCCGACCCCTAACCCGAACGCCTGAGACCCGCGGGAAGCCGGGGGTCCCGCGGATAAGATCCGGGGTTTGAGGACTAGCCCCCCCCGCCCCCGAACCCTACGGGGCCCCCGATGTACTGGGGTCCCAAAAAAGGTGACCGAGCCCGCAACCCGAGGGTTCGG